TTTTCTCGTGGCCCACCGGTTGGCAACCGCTGCTATATAGCATGTTGGGTACAAATCGAATTAACCTTTCCAACTCCAGAAACACTACACTAAATGTCATTTTAAAAGCCATATAATCACCTTTTCATCTTAAAAGAAATCTCAGGATTTAATACATACGTGGAAAAATATTTCATTTTGTGCATCACATTTCCTATAGTTTAATTCAAAGGGATATTTTATCCTACATCCCATCTAACCTTTTATCAGCTTTTTAACACATATCCTTCCCATCCATTATTTAAGTTTAAAATACCCTAAATGCTTTAAATAAAGAGTTCTTTGAACTTGCGCTCAAAAGTGCTGTGAGTGCTAAGTATTTTGATTCAAACACATTTAAAAGGTATCAGAATCAGATGTCTGTTTTTGATCCATTACTGAGTAATTCCTTTCACTAATTCTGCAAGCTTTATTAAATCCTCTCTAAGATGAAAATACTGTGCAGTTTGAAAGGCAAAGGTAAGTGTTCAGAAACCACTCAGTTTAACACTGCTTGTCTAGACAAACAGAAAGAGAATATAGATAATATTCTACAGTAGAAATAACTAAAGGATTATAGTTTCCAATTAGAACAGTCAACAGTCCATCAGATCCAGCATTTTATTTTCAAACATACAGAACATCCCCATGAGACCACAAAAAATATTAGCCTACAAAAAGGCCACTTTTCCAGACCAGCATAGCAACAAGACCTGTTTATTTATCAGCCATCACCCCAAATCCTTCCCCTAAGCATACTGTCAAAGGAGTAAAATAATCCATTTATCCTCTACCCTGCTGCTATGGTTTTGCAGCAATACCAGAGGCAACCACGTGCACCTGAAACTCAACGCTACCATTGAATAGGAATGGAAGCAACGGCTTCCTCAACTGCACATTCCAAAAGTGGCACCTACCAAAGGTTTTGTGCTCCAATGGGAGACGGTGCAGTGGATAAGCCCTGCGTGCATGCTTTTGTCCAGGATGTGGCTAGCTCTCCTCTCGCAGCGTTTCCCCCCATAGTTGGCAACGCCGGCTTGTGTTGTTGTTGGAAATTGTGGCTCAGCCACACCTGGAGGGCCAACATGCGATTACGTTGTTGCATTGTTCTTGCATTTCCTCTGCAAGATGTACTACTGTTATTTCAAGGGAGCTCCGACTCTTACTTTTTCAGATTCTCCCTGAAATGCATCCACGCCCTTCCTTATAGGATAACATCTCTATCCACCTTTGATTGCATCCCGGGTTTCTGCTCCCAGCAAAAGAATGAAGCACAAGAAATTTGTCTGTCCTTACTTGCTCCAGGCGCTCGCCTGCTTCTCTTCTCCTTTTCTGTAAATGATTAACACACCAGCAACTCCGTAATTTAAATATATAATATGTATATAAATATAAATAAATAAGCAGGCTCTCAAGATCTTCTACCATATCATATGGCGCCTGTCCCTACCGTTCTCCATCTTTTTTACCTGCTTGCTAGCGGCAATAGCTCTTCCAATTTGTGCAAGGGCGCGCATGCGCGTCACCGAGCGCTCGCCTAACGCGCGCGCTCCCCCCCGTAAACCACGCCCTTTTTCCCGGGGTGGCAATTGTGCATCTTGATTGGCATCCGGCGACTCTTTTCTAATTCGCCAGAGAAGTGACGTATGTTGGACCGCTTTGCCAATTACCTTGCTCGTCCATCTGGCGCGTGCTGAAAAGTCGGGATCTGATTGGTTTCGGCTTGCGAGCGGGAGCGTGGGGGGGGGGGGGGGGGGGGACTGCCAACCTCGGTAACTTTAAAGTTTGTGGACTTCAACTCCCAGAATTCCCCAGCCAACATGGCTGGCTGAGGAATTCTGGGAGTTGAAGTCCACAAGTCTTAAAAGGGGGCCAAGGTTGTGGAAGATCCCTTTAACGCAAAGGATTCCCGCCTCTCTTTAATCCTCGAATGATGATCGGTGCTTCTTCGGGTGAGAGGTAACCGGTCACTGCAGGAAGTCGGATAGCAAGAATCCTTTTGCTTGGGGCGGTGTACAAATTTTTGTTCATCGGTACTGCATATGAATGCGAATTAAGAGTGCGGTAGGAGGATCGATTGGATTTCCCGATGCTGCAGTCTTGTCTAGGGAAAAAAAAATCACTTTAAAGATCACTTTAAAAATCACTTTAAAGATCTTGCACTTTTTTTTTAGCACAATCCTCTTTGTGGCTGCTTGAAAAATAGCTTAATTCAGTGCTCCCAAATTAGGGTAGGGTAATAGCTGAACAGCAAGGAGAAGCTGAAGAGATAAAGGAGAGATCCGGATTGTAATATGTTTGTTTAAGCCATTATATTCCTTTTTAAAGATATCCATCAACCTGGTTGAACGCCATGCTTCCTAGCCTGCAAGCGAGGCAAAACTGTCGGTGGTAAGCTTGCAAACGCAGTAGCCTTTTACAAGATCTTGCCACTATGCTTTTAATTTAAAACGCAACTTACATCAGGCATGTGGGCTCCTGTGTCTCTGCTCCTGTGATTTTATGTTCTTTAGATAATAAACTAAATCATCGTGAGATTTTCTAACATCTTTTACAGTGCTGCAAAATTGGGAGCTTTTAAGCAGTAAGTTGCTTTTTTGGCATATTCAAAGTGTTTTTTTAATATAAAAAAAAAGAATCCGATTTTCCTAAATTCCATCAGGTTTTTTTCCTGCCTATATAAACTCTTCCAAATTTCCCGATACCATTGGACTACAATTCCCAGCATTACTGATGAACCTGGGAAGTGGCTCCCTGTGTGATTTTTCCTTCGGAAGAAGTTTTCTTGGACCAATGATCCTATTCCTTTCCCTTCTCCACCCCTTTGGGCTTGGCAGTGATTGTAAGATGTTACTGAAGAAAAAAGAGTGAAAGGCTGCACAGGCAAAAAACAAAGGAATTGGGATACAGCTTTTGTTCATTATCCCCTCTTTCTCCTAAGTTATCCAGAGCAAAACCAGACATTCACTTCTAGATTTTTTTTTTTTTTTTAAATTAAGTTGAAATGATTGGATAGGAATTTTTCAAAGGACGCTTGGGAAGGATTGGAGCGTACATTTAAGAAAGCATCAGGAAATGGTGTGTGGCTGAGGAAATATTTAGAGAGAACCACATAGTGCATACTTCTGCTCACTTTTACCTAACAAAGCAGTACGCCTGGGCTCCCCGCTCCTCTGCCTGGCATTTGGTTTGCTTTGTTTCTTAAAAAA